ATAAATGTATTGAGTTGATAAAACAGGTTGTCCTTGGATCATTGGACCAGAAATAAGGACTTCAATGAGATACTGAAAATCTATGGGAGCAGGCTGTTGGATGGATGATGAGCCACATGTTGAGTGAGAGAGGCAATAGCTGTGCCGCACAGCCAGCCACAACCCCAAGAACTGGTGAGAATCAAAGAAACCAAGCAGCAAACAGCAGGGAAAAGGGGAAGAGGCATAACGGGAATGTGGGGAAACCTGCAGGAACCTAACACAAGAGATCGTAAGGAATGCTTTGAACCTAAAGACTCAAAAGTGAAGCTGACTAAAATCAAAAACATTCTTTTTCTTTTCGGTCATTTTCTATTGCCGTCATAACAGCAATAAAAATCTGATTGTGAATGTGAAATGTGGACTGGGTACACCTTCTTGTCCTAAACAGTGTCAGCTGGGTCTTTTCTCAGCCATATCCACAATTAAAATTTTCTCTGGCCACATTGTAGGGTCACCGACAGGCAAGATGTGCATGCATGTGCCTCATATTCTATAAAGGCATTTATGACCTGCAGGTGCCTAATAGGCAGTCTTCATGCTTGTAATGGGTGCTAACCCCAACATCCTACTGCACGTGTAGAGTTGCAGTCAATCTGGTAACCACAGAGTCAATGTTTCCATTTGACAGGCCAATCATCTGCAACGCCACCCTTAATAGAAATATTTGAGCAGATTCCATCAGTGCAATAAGTCACTCTTCCTTCTAATCTGTCAGCTCATCATCGTCAGCTATGGACCGACTGCTTATGATTGCTCCTGTTCTCTTGGGTCATTTCGTTTGGTTTGGTATGTTTGTTTTAGTGCTGTCTTTTTAAAAATTTGACTTGAAAAGGACAGAATAAGTTTCAAGGAGATGGAAATGTCTTTCAGGTGTTGCTTTCTGCCATCATGATGGAATCTCTGGATCAGTGAAGGAGGTGACAGCCAGACCTGGAGAGAACATCACCCTCTATTGTGACTGCAATAAGTCGACTGGGGTATACATAGTGTGGTTCAGGAATTGTTCTCATGAAAACCAGCCAACTTTTGTCCTAAACAGTCGTCTCAGCTGGTCTCAGCAAGTTCCACGATTTAAATTCATCAAAAACTCTACTTCCTTTGACCTGCTGATCACAAATATCACTGATTCTGATGAAGGGGTTTACTACTGTGGAACTACGGAGACAAAGGTGGAAATCGGAATCGAAAAAATTACATCAAGAGATATCTACAGGTACAGCAACATCACAACAAGGCTCACCGTCAGTAAGTACTTTTTCCCTTAAATGAACTACCCTATCAGGTTTACATGTATAATTAACATTGTATATTACTCCGTCTAGCTATATCAAGGATTATTATTGGTAAAAAGTTGTATAAAACCTTCAGAGGATCAAAATGAAGAATCAATTCTTGCTGCTGTGTGAAAACTATGTTGCAAATCTAAGTAGATTAGTACATGCTTGTGGAGAGAACACAGAAATCTCTCATTAATGTATGTATTTGTTGAAGATCAGTTAATGCAACTCTGTGACCTAATACAACATGATTTAGTCACTCGTAAGACATAATCCCTGCTTCTTTGTGTTTGTGTCTCAAAGATTAAAAATGTAAAGAGGTTCACAGAACACTGACTATTTAAAACATACATTGACTGAAGATTCTGAGATTGTAAAACTCCCTCAGAATGTTCTGGTTTCCTGAGATGATGTATTAAAATGGGCTATTCAACCAAACTTTGTATTTTGCCAGAGCCCAGTCCGCTTCACGTTGACGTAAATAAGACGCAGCAGAACTGTGATGTGGACTGGAAACTCCTCTTCTTTTTGTGCCTGTCTTTCGTTTTTATCTCAGCTATCTTCTCCTCTCTTCTGGTTTACAAGCTCTGCAAGAAAACAGGTACATGCCATGTTTGACTTGCCATCTGAGAAAGTGTAGGATCTTTTCTATAATTTATTTCCTATTTTTTGTTGTCCTTACTGCAGTGGAACATAAACAAAACAATGAAAAACTAAGGGCCACCACAAGAGAGGTAAATAACAGCAGAATATGTCTTTGTATTCATCCATACAGACTTTTGTCACCGTGAATTTATAATATCGTTGATGAAATGAGGTGATCGTGTTGCTGTACTGTAAATGTCAAATCTTAGGGTGAAGACGTGTGTTATGCAGCCCCGGAAATCTGTCAGGCATCACAGAGACCAAAGAGGAAGAGCACCGCCAAAAGTTCAGACTTCTGCACGTACTCTGCCATCAGTACTTCTCGGGTGTAAAGTTTTCCAATGTAACACAAAGATATGATTACACATTAATGACGTTCCCTCATTCAGCTTCTCCAACTAAATCTGGGACATAGTTCAAGTGAAAAATGTTTGTGACATCTCCTACATTCAGCAAGTTATTTAGTACTGATTCTGGAAAATGTCTTTTAAAAGTTGTTTCTTTGTATTCTTATGAACGTTGATCTTTCACTTTAAAATGGCAAATATTTCAGATTGATCTAAATCCATGTGATAGGGATATCTTGGTACTTACTGTAAATCACTTGTACTTAGTTACAGATAAAACGGGAGCTACGCCTTTTCTGAAAACAGAATACACCAAGTCTTTTTGTCTTTTTGGAGTATCTCTATAGGAACTACTGAATTCTGAGAGCATGTGCGACAGCAGAGGGGTTTCAGACCCATTTAGCTTCTCCACATTACAACGTTGTGTGGGTAAAATGGCCTTAAGTTAAAGAACAAGCAGAGGTCCTGCTAACTTATGTTAAAATATTTTTTTTTTACATATTTTATTGTATGGACATAATGAATCACAAGATGAATGAATTTCTCATCATTTTCATTTGGCCAAAATTCAGAAGTTCTTTCTGATTAGTTCAATCTGAACCAGTCATTCTCATCCCCCAAAGTTTTCAGAATTAGTTTGTGATTAGTTCTGTGATTTCCTTTTCACTTTTTATCTTATAGCTACAGTAGTTATTAGTCAGGCATTAGTCTATGTGCTTTTAATGAATTGCAATTCTTTTTGTAATAAATCTTCATCTTTTAACATTTGGAAACAAATGTCTGGCCTCCTTACACCAAACCTGTGTGTCTTTGTTTTATTAATAATTTTATGGGTGAGATTCCCAGGTAGGCATTGTCGATTCTTTAAGTCTCGTATCTGTAATATTTAACATCAGGGGTTACCTCTGATGCTTGCCCACCACACTGCCACATTTATCTATCTCTATTTGATCTGATACATTCCATATTGTCGGACACAACAATCTGCAATAATCAAACCTGTCATGCTGCCACTGTACTCGGTTAGTGCTTTTGTCCAATATCCAAATGTTTTTTTATGCTTGATTTCAACAGACGTTGTAAGCATTCAATTATTGCATGTGCAAATTATACTCCCCCCCCCCCTTTATTCATTTCTGTTTATTTTAAAAATATATTTTTTTATCATGTCTTAGTCCTACTCATAATTTGAATAACCTAAGCCATCCGACCCAACTTATTCCTACCCACCCCCTCCCAAGATTGGTCAAATTTCATACCTCAGGCCCCAACTCATATCTCTCTCTCTGCAATCGCCGTCACCAGGAAAGTGGACTCGGCCTCTCCCCAAGCTTTCAGGAGGTTGAGGTGGTAAATCTGCGTGACCCCTCCCTCAACAAGTCGTACAATCTCATAGTCAACGTCACCCACTTGGGTCCCAAGGGTCCTTGCCACTTAGCGAGTAATTTGGAGTTGGACGATGGGAGTAATTCAAGTATCTTATCTCCCGGTGAGAATTGTCCTGATCCATATCCTCTGTTGTACAGCCACTGTTGATGTTCCTCAGCTCAGATCCTCTTCCCAGCTTTCTTTAACCAGGTCCAAAACCCTGCATGGTTTTGTGCGGAATAGCAGCTCAAAGCTAGAAAATCCCGTGTTGGCCTGGGGAACATTACGCACTGCAAACAACAGAGGGTGCAATACAGTTCTCTCAGTGTTCTGACATAAATTGGGTGCCTTGATCAGTCAGGATCCCGTCTCGGGAGATGATTTGAATCAGTTCCCGTGCTACACACTTTGCAGAGCTGGTGTGCAACGGCACTGCCTCTGGATGGATGACCTGATGAGGTCCATCCCAATGCGTTCAAATGGCACCTCAATAAAAGGCACTCTTGGAATGGCCGTTGATCAACTAAGTGGCAAACTGGCATTCGGGGCAAGAAGCAAAACAGCAGAGCACGTCCGCCCAAATGCCGGGCCAACAGAATCGGGCCATTACCCGGTTTTGTGTCTTATACCCCACGTGTCCAGCCATCGGTTAAAATGAGCCGCCTGGAAAACCATTACCCCACGGTTTTTCTGAACCAACAGTTGGGTTATTATTTCGTCTCTCTGAATATCACGACTCACTCTGTACAAACTGTCCGTGTACTAAATGTGTGGATATGTTAACACTGTGTCAGGGCACACCCTGTCCCCATCAATCTGTTTGATTGGAAAATCTTCCATGGAGTTAAACATGGAAGCCTGTGGGGCCTCTGAAGGCACCGCCGGCTCCCCTTCCCCATCTGCAGTGTTGAACAAAGTCGCGTCACCACTGAGCACAGCACACACATCCCATGTCCCTATCTGTTGTGAGCACACCCCCACACACTGCCCCACTATTGAACCCATGCCAATCAGTACCCAAAATCAGCGGGTGCACCAAACAGGAACTAACCGCAGCCTTCAAACTATATTTATTTCCTTTAAACCGAATTTCCAGTCACCACAAGATATCTGTGAAGATCTCCATGTACACAACTGTTATTCATTCATCCCGCCTCTATCAATGCCGAGGGTCAAATTGGGTTCTGGTGAACTATGGACTCCATTGATCCTAAGTCCCCTGGCCCCTCCACGAATTGTTCTAGCGCAATTTTCTCCGTCAGCTTTGCCTCACCTGCAGACTCCCCCGCCTGCACCTGTGCACCGCGTGTCTCAGGTGTTGGGCAAAGACAAATAAGTGGTCGGACGGACCCAGCTTGGTACCCTTGAATCTTCGGGAGTGGTCCTCCGCCAATTATCCCAGCCGGTTGAGGACGGCCCTCTTGATTTTCTGGTACTGCCCCCATGAGGAGGCAGGCAGGCCGGGCGCCGCTGTCTGGGCATCCCCCGATGGCAGTGGTGGCAGCGCTGCCTCGAACATCTCCATGTCTGACCGAAGACCGTCGGTTTCTGTCATCCGGTACAGTGCAACACCGGAGAGGGGCCCGGCGCTGCTGCCCCTCACCCGGGACAAATACCTGATACCCAACAGGTGTATTAATCACCTGTAGCTGATGCACCACGCCCCCTCCACATTAACCTTTTAAGAATTCTCAAATGGAAGTTTGAGAATTTTTTATAAGTTTTGGAAAAGCCTTTAGACATAGACTTAGACTTAGACTTAGACAGTACTTTATTGATCCCTTGGGAAGACTCCCTCAGGAAATAAAGGTTACCAGCACCTTAAAGGGCAAAAAGTATTAAGTTATTAAGTTAACATTAAATTAAGCAAAAAAAAATAAAATACAAATACAAATACAAAAAATACAGATTAAGCACAGTGTATATAATAGGAGTTGTGTGTATGTAATATCTCTTCCCCCTGTCCTGTGTCACCTCCTCGCCCCCAGTGAGGCATTGTACAGTCTGATGGCGTGGGGGACAAAAGAGTTCTTAAGTCTATTGGTCCAGCACTTGGGAAGCAGCAGTCTGTCACTGAACAGGCTCCTCTGGCTGCTGATGACGTTGTGCAGAGGCTGGCTGCTGTCGTCCATGATGTCCATCAGTTTGTTTAGTGTCCTGGCCTCTGCCACCAGAGAGTCCAGCTTCATGCCGACCACGGAGCCGGCCCGTCTGATCAGTTTGTCCAGGATGGACGTGTCCTTCTTGGATGTGCTGCCTCCCCAGCACACCACGGTTTAGAGGAGGACACTGTCTATCACAGACTGGTAGAACATCCACAGCAGTTTGCTGCAGATGTTAAAGGACCGCAGTCTCCTGAGGAAGTACATCCTGCTTTGTACCTTCCCGTACAGGTTGCTGGTGTGTTTTGACCAGTCCAGTTTGCTGTCCAACCACACCCCGAGGTACTTGTAGGAGTCCACCTCAGTTCCCTCTAGTACGACTGGTCTCGGCTTTGGTCTGGACCTCCCAAAGTCTATAACAAGCTCCTTTGTCTTAGAGGTGATGAGCTCCAGGTGGTTTATGTGGCACCAAAGGGCAAAGTCCCCCACCAGATGTCGATACTCTTCCTCTCCGTCATCCCTGATGCATCCGACTATGGCTGTGTCATCAGCATACTTTTGTATGTGACACAGCTCTGAGTTGTAGTGGAAGTCAGAGGAGTACAGGGTGAAGAGAAGAGGGGCCAGCACTGTGCCCTGTGGGGCTCCTGTGCTGCTGACCACAGTGTCAGACTTGGTGTCCTTCAGCCTGACATACTGCGGCCTGTTGGTGAGGTAACTGTGGATCCAGGTGACCAGGTGCTGGATCCACAGTTACCTCACCAACAGGCCGCAGTATGTCAAGCATTGACACAAATTTGGACTTGTTTAACTTTACAATGAGTTTGAGAATTTATTAGATCAAAAGTGTAGAGTGTCTTATCTGGCAGTTGGAAATAAACAGGGCCTGAATAATCATGGTGGTATGGAAAAGCTAAAGACTCTCTTCAGGGTTAGATTTAAACTGGTCTGAGTTACAAACACAGTGTACATGTAGAAGTTCTCACCATCTGCCAGAGAGGAGAGGACATGGGAGGGTGCTGTTGGATGGTGAATGATGAGCCACGTGTTGAGTGAGAGAGGCAATAGCTGTGCCACACAGCCAGCCACACCCCAGAGAACTGGAGAGAATCAGAGAAAACTATCAGCAAACAGCATGGAAAAAGGGAAGAGACATAACAGGAACGGGGAAATTCTGCAAGACCCTAACACAAGAGGTCAAAAGGAACACTTTCAACCTTAAGACTCCAAAATAAAATTGATTAAAATCACACATTACCACCATAACTGAGACATAGCATGGACAAAGCCACAAAGAAAATGGGTTTTATTGAGGGTTTTGTTAAATCCTTGATTTCTTTACATTCACTTTCACTTCCCTTATTAATTAGTTTTAAAAATAAAACAATTACTTTTGAACACGACAAGAGTGGAAATATTTATTTTGTTTTTTCTGTAGCAACTGAAATGATCCTGCTCCACGATTCATGGCACATTTACTTACGTACAATAAGTGAAAGAACTTTGACTGTGGCCACATTGTAGGGTCAGCGAAAGGCATTTATGACCTGCAAGTGCCTAACAAGCGGTCTTCATGCTTGTAATGGGTGCTAACCCTAATCATCAGACAGCACATCTAGCGTTGCAGCCTATCTGACAACCACAGAGTAAAACGTTCCATTTGACCAGCCAATCATCAGCAACGCCACCCTTAATGGAAATATTTGAGCAGGTCACATCAGTCTGAAGTACAAAAAGTCACACTTCCTTCTAGCCTGTCAGGTCGTCATCAGCTATGGACCGACTGCTTCTGATTGCTGCTGTTCTCTTGGGTCATTTCGTTTGGCTCGGTACGTTTGTTTTGTTGTTGTCTTTCTAAACATTTGACCAGAAAAGGTGCTGTTTCAAGGAGCTGTTCATTTCTTCCAGGTGTTGGTTCCTGCCATCATGATGGAATCTCTGGATCAGTGAAGCAGAGGACTGTCGGGCCTGGAGACAACATCACCCTCTATTGTGATTGCAATAAGTCGACGGCTGAAGGATCCATAGTCTGGCTCAGGAATTGTTCGCATGAAAACCAGCCAACTCTTGTCCTAAACAGTCTCGACTGGGCCTATCAACAGCCATTTCCACGTTTTAAATTTATGCAGAACTCTTCGTCTAATTCCTTCAACCTGCTGATTACAAATGTCACTGATGCTGATGAAGGCGTTTACTACTGTGGAACTATGAAAAAAACGGAAAAAAATAAAAAGAGTACACCAGAAGATAATTGCAGGTACAGCAACATCGCAACAAGGCTCACCATCAGTAAGTACTTTTCCCCTAAATGAACTACCCTATCAGGTTTACATGTATAATGAACTTTGTATAATACTCTGTCCAGCTATGAAAGATTATCATGATTTAGTCACTTGTAGTCACTTGTAGGAAATAATCCCCACTTCTTTGTGTTTGATCGTAAGTCTCTCAAACATTACTAAAAGGAGATTAAAAGAGGTTCTAAAACCACGCTATGGTTTAAGTAACAATCTTGATGTTTGATTCTGTGGAGGCTTCTTTAAAAGATTAATTGTTTGATGACTCACAGATTGTAAAAATGAATTGTGTGTGTTCAGGTTTCCATGGATGAGATATTAAAATGGGCTAATCAACAAAACTTTATATTTTGCCAGAGCCCAGTCATCTTCATGTCGACACAAATAGGACACAGAAGCACTGTCCTCTGGACTGGAATTTGCACAGCAATGTGGAATGGAAACTCCTCTTCTTTCTGTGCCTCTTTGTTGCTTTTGTCTTTGCTCTCTTCTCCACTATTCTGGTTTACAAGCTCTGCCAGAAAACAGGTACCTGCCATGTTTGACTTGCTGTCCGAAAAAATGTAGAATATTTTCACTGATTTATTTATTTGTTTTTTGTTGTCCTTACTGCAGTATTAGATACACAAGATAATGACAAACCAAGGGCCACCACAAGAAAGCCAAGAGAGGTAAATAACAGCAGAATATGTCTTTGTATTCATCCATACAGACCTTTGTCACTGTGAATTTATTATATCGTTGATGAAATGATGTGATCGTGTTGCTGTACTGTAAATGTCAAATCTTAGGGTGAAGACGTGTGTTATGCAGCCCTGGAAATCCGCCATGCATCCCAGAGACCAAAGAGGAAGAGCACCGCCCAAAATTCAGACTTCTGCACGTACTCTGCCATCAATACTTCTCGGGTGTAAAGTCTTCCAATGTAACACAGAGATATGATTACACATTATTGGCGTTCCTTCATTCAGCTTCTCCCACTAAAGCTGGGACAAAAAAAAATATGTTCCATTTTCTTTAAAAGCTTTTCCAGACAGTTCTTCACCTGATTATATCAAACTCTGGATTTCAGGCTCCCGGAGGAGATGTACGTTTGTGACAACGGCTACCTTCAATAAGTTCATTAGTACTGACTCTGGAAAATGTGCTATCTGCTAAGAGCTGTTTCTTACGAACTTTGATCTTTCTCTTTACATTTAGGGTCAAATATTTCAGATTCATCTAAATCCACGTGATAGGGGTATCTTGGTCCTTAAATCACTTGCACTTAGTTACAGATCAGAAGGGAGCAACTTCGTTCTGTAAATGAAATGCACCAAGTCTTTTTGGAGTATTTCATAGGGAAAATACTTACTG